TATTAAAAAAAAATAAAATATATGTGAAAAAAGGGAGGGGAAAAAGAAAAATAATCCCCCGCCGCTTTTGGATCCATAACTAATTTTCCGATACAATTGGGTCCCCCGTGGCCCATTTTCACAATGGTTTCTTCCCTAAGAGCTTGCTTACTTGAAAGTTGTTCCTGAATTCTGAAGCGTGTTCCCAATGGTTTGACTCTAGAAAATGCATGATGTCTTCAATGATATACAGAGCGCATGCGGAAGATGGCTTACTTATAAGGGCGACGGATAAACGCATGCGTTAATGACCATTAATTGCGCATGCGTATGACAAGACCAAGATGACAGAACCAGGCTCCTCGAGTGTGAGTTGTGTTTAAATCCCTTCTGACGCAAAACTGAGCTCGGTCTCTACACTGGAGCTCTGTACTCCAAACATAACACTACAACACCATCATGCAGAGCAGCCATAGCGCAGCCAAGGCGAGGCCATCCACCGCACGGGGAGCAAGCTGTAGTTCTACTAGGGAGTCACTGTGATTTTCTCCCCCGTGGCAACGCGCTTAAGGGAAGCCTCTCAGCAACTCCCACACTTTCTACCTCATGCAATCTCCTCTAAGTAGCTATATATTACACATTTTGGTTCGAGATCTGGAGGAATATCGAGAAGAAAGGCCAACTGGATCGTTCTCGCCAGAGCACCATCCTCCATGCAAAGCTCTCAAACAATTCTGACCAAGTACAGAGCTCGAATGGCGATGAATCTGATCAGCGTGTGGCATTGCATTAAAGCACCCCCTTCAATCTCACTAGCCAATGGCCACATACACCAAGATTCTTGCAATTCTAGATAGTGAAAATTGTTTGTATCTGTAGGACAAAGGAGTCAATAATGGAATTATAACGGTATAACCAACGTAGAGATCTGTTTCAACAGGACATTCTGCAATCCATGAAATATCTAGATTCGGAGTACATGGAGCTTAGATATATTTATTCGGGAAGGTTAGCAACAGAATCTCCGCTTTCATCTAACACTACTAGACATTAAGTAGTCGCAAGAATTTAAATAGTGGGTGTATTTTATATCTAGGCATAAATCCAGGAACGCGTAATTTTGTAGACAAGGTCCGAGAAGTGTGTACCGACGTACACACTGTTTAAGGTTAGGCACTTAGGTGGCTGTATGCACATATTCTACGTGCCATGAAACTATGTGTGGTTTTATCGGGAGAGTTTGGAGCTGCAAAAACTGTATTACGAGATTTCTTACTCCTACGGAGAAATACCCAACATTTTAGAAATGCGAAGATGGTTGAAATCAAGTGGGTAATTTGTAATAATCAACCATATATATACTAAGGAATGACCTGGATGTACGTACCGTGCGCCAATGTTGTGTGCTTTGTAATATGAGGTGTCATGTTATTGATGCACGGCATGGCTTTCCCAGTACTTCCTTTGTGCGTGGGATGACTTATGAGGGACTGTGTGGTAATTGTTGAACCAAAATGCTGTAGAAGTTTAGTCAGCTACTGATGTCATATAGCTTGGGAGTAAATACCATGTTGTTGAATATGAGTGCACATCTTAAGTCATTATACAAATTTGATATAGATACCAGGTTGCAGACCAGGTCAACTGTTTATATATGTTCATATGCATGCGAGTGGTTATACCCTCCTTTTCTAGCCGCGACTGGGACTACAATTGTTGTTTGGTATCTTTGCTGTCAAGTGTAAATTGTTTAGAGATGAGTCCTCTCAAGTGTCACTATCAGGCAGGTTTATCGTTGGACTATGTTTGAGAGTCGTCATGATTACTGTAGACTAACTATTGTAGATGACAAGCAACTTGGATGTGATAAGAGTTAGGAAACCCGCAGGCATCGACAGAGAACCCCACACACGTGCGCAATATTTTCTGTCTCGGTTTGTTTGTTTAAAATCATGCATATGCAGGTTCCTACGGGAGCTATCTTGAGATTGAAGAACTGGTGAGGTTGGACAGAGGGGACGGCCCCACTCGGCAATCAGATGGCGGACATTTTATGACGGTGGCAGATATACTACCACTCGTAAAGTAAGCTTAACCTTACTAGATTCTGAAAAGAGTTGTATATGTACAGCGGAGCCCCTCTTTAACGGCACCCCTGAAAACAGGACACCTCTCTTATAAGGAAACTTTTCTTTCCCCAAGAACAGTTCTTGCAAGTAATTAAGGATAACTCACTCGTAATGCCGCACACCTTCTCTGCAATTTGTGTCTGGATTAGGTGTACTGAGGTGACCTTATTTATGAAAGTTCGATGCCTTCATTCTAGAGAGGAGTTTCTATTGCAGTATGTTTCTCTGATGCAGGAGTAGAGATCAGAAGGGACTGAAGGGACTGAGTGTAGTGGGAAGATTGAGTGTCATTTCCGAGCCGTTCAGAAACGGTCCTGACTTCATGGTGATCCTCAGAATCACCGACACTTCAGACACATCCGCCCACTGTCACCTTATCACTCAGGTATGGATTTTAGCTATAAGCTCTATATTATTTATAACTCTGAACTGTATACAGAATATTTGTTTATAGACCCACTGTAAGCTTCTATGTGACTCTGTATGATATAGATTATACTTGCTCTGTGATGCAACAAATGTTACTGGTGTTGGTGAATATTCCAGTCAGAATACAATGTGTTGCTGTATTTCTCTCTCAGTCTCCTGAGCTCCTGTGTCTTCCTCGAGTCATGAAGCTGTTTGAAGTCTACGCCTTCACCCACCTCAAGTCCGCCATCATGAACAAGGTTTGTTCATTGTCCAGTTCACACATCGTATATTGTTGAAACTTTTAGGCGATGTAGCACAAATAACCACGAGGGCTGCTTCTACAAATGCTTTTCAGGGAAAACTATTACAAATGGCATTGTTTTTTTCACTCGATATTTTCCCTCTGTGTGCGGTATTATTTGATTTCACTGCTCAGGGTAGAGAGGATGAAGCAACTGTACTCACAACCACTTCTAAAACTACAGTGGAGCGTGTGTCTTCAGAAGAGGCAGTTGTTCGTCTCCTACGCAGCACCTCTCCTAGTTCCGCGTCCTCTCCTCTTAGAAAGAAGACGAGGCGAGAGGAGGCCGCAGTCACCACTGCTGATGATGAACTAGTCCTCACAAGTCTAATTAGAGCACACTCCCTCAGCAGAGATGCAACACTGCTATCTTACAAAGTCAGTCTCGAGATTCAGCAGCAAAGAAAGCCATCTATGCTACACATGCATTGCCCATGAAACCACTGTAAATTTATGAAGGAGAAAAATTTTGAGGTGGAAGCCACTTATGTTCTTTGGGAACCTCAATATTATAGCAAGCAGTAATAAAATTCACCTGCCTACTAAAATTTTCTCCATTGAGAAAATCTCTGCTGTGTTAGAGCGTCTGTAGAAATTATTCTTCCACTTTTATTCTTATAGGGAGTAATAACCAGGTGCGTACTACCTGAGGCCGGTGTGTACGAACTTGACGATAGTCTAACTCTCTATCTGACTCACTCCAATCTGAGTAATCAAGGCAGGGGCCTGAGGGAAGGGGCAGAGGTGGAGGTTACGAATGCCCACGTGCTGAGGCTGTCCGACCCACTATATAAGGTGCCGCCTCGACTAATGGCTCTTTTGTGGAAGATTGAAAAGGTTGTGTTTAATGAATTTTTTCCAGAAAATGTCTGGGTTTGTGTGCTGTCCTGTGAGTCGAATTGAAGTAGTTCATTTCTCAGAGAAGGAGACAAATTTCAAGGTTTCATCTTTGTTTAGTTCTTCTTTGTGTTATTATGAAATATTCGTCTGCCGTAGGCCTTTCTCCTCCAGAACAAGTTGGCGCAACTGCTGAGCAGATTCAGAGCCACCGAGGTGTCATGGCTGACGCTAGTCTTTCTGTCTCTCTTGAAAAAGTTTAAGTAAGTCAGCCCTACTACCATATTATAGTTATGAGGGAGATAAAGCACAACAGGATGATGTGGTCTGTGAAAGTTTTTTCTTGCTTTTGTTTTCTGCAAGTTACCGAATACTTATGACATCTGGCCTCCTATTTCAGTCAAGGGTTAAATTGTATGCAAGAAGCTGTTCTTGGGGGGAAGAGGTGTATTAGAAAAGTGTTCTCATTTCGAAGGTGTCCTTAGAGAGAGGGGTTCCACTGTAGTAGTGTTGTGTATGCTCTATTCCAGGAAGAAGAGGGAGGCTTTCAGTGTTGTGAGGGAGCTGTGTGAGATGGTGGGTGTGGTCAGAGTTCACCAAGACCCTCACTCCAGCCTCCTGACAGTGCCTCACTCGTGTCCTTACGTCTCCCCTGTCGATATCTCCCTCAGACCCCTCCTCCCTACCATTCAACAACTGGTACAGCTCTGTAAGGGAAGGGTGGGGGTCGAGTCTTTCAGCTGGAGAGGGGAGAAGGGGAGAGGGGTGGCTGGTGGCTCTGTGGGCCCTGCAGCTCCTTCACTCAGTGTTGCAGTCAGTGCAACCTGGTCCTTTGGTGCCGTTCAACATACAGACTTCCCTAACCCTCAGGTTATACAATGAAACCTCCGATAAGGGACCCTCTTTAATAGAGAACAAAAAACAATTGGTTCTTTAAATGGGAAGTTGTCTTCTTTTTGGAGCTTATAAAAAAGTTAACGTTTGAGACCTCAACATGTGTCCTTATTGAGAGTTTTTTTTCTTTTTTTTTCGGAGTGTCCTTTATCGGAAGTTCTACTATATAATGTGTGTGTAAGCCACTGCAAATCTTTTCTGTAGGTATTGGTTGGCAGGGTGAGTGGGAACAGAGTGTCTGGGTACATGGAGCTCTGTGACGAAACCGGTTCCATTCCAGTGGTGGTCTGCGTTCCATACTCCCCAGCACCGGAATCAGACAGAGACACTGGGAATCCTTGGTTCTCTGGGGTCAGAGAAGGCTCAACAGTAGCATTCAGAGAGTTTTCTGTAATAGCCGAGAGAACTGAAGAATCTGAGGAAATTAAGGACACCAAATACTCATTCTATCTTCACTCTCAAAACTTCAAAATCATCTGTGATGATAAAACAGTGGTTGATGAGCAGAAACCAAGTGCTTCAAAAGCTGCTGAGAAGTCACTGTATGTCTGGATAAGGAGCAAAAACTGCCTGAAAAAGGCAGAGAATGGAGCTGATTCAAAGTGTGCATTTGAGGCACTGGCAACAGCTTCATCCAGTCTGCCAGAGCTGCAGCCACACGTTAGCACAGCCTCTGGTCCAGTGACAGTGGTACTAGGGTTCACATCTGCCAAGTCCTATTCTTACCTCCACAACCACTGCATATACCGTCTAAGCTGCCCTGGAAATTCGCAGGAGAAGCTACCCTCTCTGGATGTGTGTTTGAAAACGCCTCATATCACAGTCGGTGATGAAATGCTAGTTGAGATGGTGGCACTGCCTCACAATGAAGTTGGAGCGTGCTCGCAAGACAGTGGTATTCTTGAGATTGGCAAACTAGTGTCGATGTTCTATCTGCCAAAACTGAAGACTGCCTTTCCTCCTCACCACAGTACAAACCCAAGGTCAGATGACCATAAACAGCTTTCTACACAATCACTATAGCTAACTGGTAAAAGATCTATACAAACACACACATTGCTATATATAATACCACAGCTTTTAAGGGAATGTGTCAGTATTATACTAAATTTAGAACTAACCTAGTGTAGTTAGATTTCCATAATTAGCCCTTATACTCTGCCACAATGCGTTAACAAAAAGTAGCATGGATCTCTGTTGTTATTGATTGCAGGGGTGAGGATCGTTTGGTGTCATTCAGAGGTGCCGTCCTCGTGCACAGCTATCGTATTGACTGTGACACTACCCACCTAAGACCATGGCAGCTATACACCCGTACACCCTCAGAAGGTCGCTCGGTGAGACACATCATAGCTCTGAACATCCGAGGCATCAATTGCCCCAACACGGCCATGATCTACTGTAAGTATAGGTCTCATGAGCCGCTGCCACTCGGCCTAGTACCCGGTTCCATTGCAGCTTTTCACCACTTCACAGTGAAGTCTTCGACGCGATCGGGCAACATTTACTTTGTCAACTCTGCGTCTAGCAGCATTACCATCGAATCAATGAATACCACAACAGAGCTCAACGCAGTAGCTGACTCTACAGAGAGATCGCACGGAATGACTAAAGAAATGCAGCAGTTACCTCCCACGTACATATTCCATCTCACTCAACGTCTGCTGCAAGGGTGTCTGTCTAGAGAAGTTGTCTCTGTGAAGGCGATGGTGGTGGCAGTCCAGCATGCCTTCATTCAGTATCAGTGTGTCTCCTGCCAGTGTACTATGGTAGATGGACAATGTCGACCAACATGTCCCTCAAAAAAATCATCTTTGAACACGGACGCAAGGTAACAGTATGGGAACATCTACTATATATCAATGCTACCTAGAATCATAGGTGAATTGGGGCTACAGGTTTTCTCTTTCAGCATTGTATGTGGTTCAATATGTCTGTGTTCTTGACTCCAGACTTCTAGTCCAAGATGGGACCGGGGAAGCTCATCTGTACGTTAAAGACAGGGTCCTCCCCATTGCCCTGGGAATGACAGACACAGAGTGGTCAGACCTGCTTGACCTGGTCCACAAAGTCGGACAAGTCTCCTACACCAAGTCCAGCTTTTTCAAGGTCCAGTTTCCTTTGGCAAGCAAACTAGTTGATTAACCCTCGGCGCGCATGCGCAGCGAGGGTTACGGTAGTTGGTTTGTCTGTCTGTTTGTCTGTGTGCCGACGCTTATTCTGGCACTACAGGCTACGGGGTGGCGAATGAGCGATACCAACGGCTTCATAACTACCCGAACCTGAAAAATTATCCCTGAAACGACTGCGTTCGAGAGATATGCCGTGAAAACAAGCGAAAAAGCCAATATGCATATTAGCACTGGGCTTACCGCGACCTGATCCGCTCGCTCCTGTGTACCTCGGTGGCTCAGGACGAATGGCGTGTATCGACTCCCGCATGCTATCTACTACTGTAGCTAGCCAGTGTCAGACTCTCCGCGAGCTATATACTAGCGGGAGACCACGGAGTAAACGCATGAATAGCCCAGCCCCGCCCATCAATTAGCAATATCGCGCGCATGCGCAGTTCGCCGAGGGTTTGTTGTGCTTTTCATTTTCCTAGGTTGACGGCACTATCCATACTATAATGCTTTACATAATTGGAAAAAAACGCTGCAAATTTACACTAGCATGTAGTGTACTGTACTATTCTTCAGTGTGAAGGTGGAAGTAGGCCAGTGACAGTGAGGGAGAAGGCAGAGAAGATGTTTCTGGATGTCCTAACTCGACCAAGTCTGACTAGAACGGTCGTTGCTGTCTGCCAGCCTTTCCTGAGTCCCTGTGAACAGACTACAGTCCTTGGTAAGGCACAGCGTGAGACCTCTGAATAGCTAATCACTAACCTGAGGACATTGTTTATTTCTAGGCATTCAGAGGTAATGTGATAACTAGAGAGGTGTTCAATATTTGAGGGTCCTTTTTCAGAGTTTCACTAACAAACCTTATCTAACAGTCATGCTTTTAGTTTATCGCTGGCACATGTCTGTTCTGTAACTAAAACTAAGTCTGTAAATTATCACTTTTGGCACTACAACCAACAGCTACATGAGGGAGTTTCTGTTTGTGTGTGTGCAGGTAGTAAAAGCTACAGAGTGTGGCAGAAGCATGGGTTGGACTACGTCACTCTTTCCCTGCCTCGACTGCAGCTGAGACTCCTGTCCATCGCGGCCAGCAAACCCTCTCTCCCTCTCATCCAGACTACTGACTCTACTACAGACTACACAATGAATCTCTTCTGAATGTCTTTTTGTTTATGTAGTTTACCAGCGATTTAGCATATGTTCGAGTTTGAGAATGTTTGGCTGCTAATTTCAGGCGTTTGTGTGGGAATGATAATTAATTCTCTGAGCCAATCAATGCCTGTTAGAAGTAAAAAGTTTAAGTGGCGTTTTGCTCATCTTTGCCGTTCTTCTGATGGTCCATGTGAATTTGCCAGCCGAGCCATCCCCTAATATAGTGACGAACACTGCAAAAAAACATTAATGCAGAAGTGAATTTAGGCAGTAGGTAGCTGTATAAACTATAGTGCGAAATAACTCCGTCAGAGTTTTCGCAGCAAAATTTGTGGGTATATATATATAACACATTTTGTATGGGGATCGTCAAAAGTTTTTGCCTTCTCTCTTTAAGTTTTCCTAGTTCCGACTCACTTGGTGTAGCCTAGGTCCTGTGCAGTTTGAAGAGCAACTAGACTTCTAACTCCTGCCATGCAATAGAAGACAATGTCCCGGTGCTTCTTGGGTTGCAAGGCATTGTAGCTCTCCTGGAAATGTTCTGGAGTTACCTGCAATGCCTCTTCAACTTTGCCAACTAAAAATATTGTAGGTTTGTGTAGAGAAAGGAAAAGTTGATCATGTAAAAAGCAAAATATCCGCACTGAGCAGGATTTGAACCTGCGCGGGCAGAGCCCATTGGATTTCGAGTCCAACGCCTTAACCACTCGGCCATCAGTGCCTCACACATCTATCCATTGCTCAATTACTCGCCATACCATGTCACTTACGTGGAATATTGATAGTATTGGGAGCCACAGTTCCTGTATCTTCCAACTCCCACGGTTCACGCACATCTATCAACTGAACTTCCCCTGAAAAGAGGAAAAAATTCATCAAGCTGGATATGATCAACTTTCAATTAGTCCTAACTAGATAATTTATGATACAAACTTTATCACCTAGCTATAAATTCACACCTTTTCGTACTAATTCGGCAAGCTCCGCCGTGTCGATCTCGGGACTAGTTGCGGAGGTGGTGTAAAAGAAGGACCTACGAATCTTAGGGAAAGCGTTTCCCCCGCACGTTCTCTTCTCGCTATGATTCGCGGTCGGGATCCGCTGCTCGAGGCTGGGAGACGCTAGAAAGAGAGCATAAACGCAGCGCAGGGAGCCGATTGATCTTGTCAGTACGCTAAGACACGACATGGCTAGAGGCGAAGGCGAAGGCCGAAATAATTATGTAGTAGGGTCAAAGTTCGAATAATATAACATCACGTGATCTTGGATATAGTTTCTTCCCAGCCAGATGGTTGGCTTTTCCTGAAGGGCCCTGTGAGAAGCCGACCGTCTCTGCTGGATTTACCTTCTTCAAGCCAGTGGGACGGACTACCGCCAGTGGACGACGTACCAAGAGCGTCAAAACGTTACGTCTAGCCGGGAGTACATACGTACGTATCTCCTAGGAACACGGTCCCGGAAGCGTCTTTCAGCGTTGGGCGGCGACGCACACGAGGCGTGGTATCCGTAGACTTGCACCGGTGACTGGTCTGCGTTCATGAATGACAGATAGGACAAATCCCGGACTTATGAGCAATCCCCTCCTGCCCAATGGACGGAAAAGACGCCTAACTCCTCTCCACAAGAAGCACAGGGACCCCACTCTAATACCCTATCAGCCAGTCAAACGTCAGAGAGCGAATTCGAATGCACCTCCCAACATGGCTCATCTCCCGGGCTCCAACAATCACAAGATGTCTGCCGGTACGGGCGGCTCGGCCGGGAGGGTTGGTTTCAACAACCTTGCCAAGAAGAGCAATCAGGGAAAGAAGCTGGTCATCAAGAACAGGAAAGGTATACACACCAGTGACCTTTTAATATTCTCAATATCTAATACATCACACAAGGGGGAGAAGGAAATTCAATCTTCCTTATCCTCACCTCCACAACCCCTCCATCCTTCCAATTTACGCTGTACAACTCATTCTTATGCTGCTCCCTTCACACACTTAACTTTCCCTCTATCCTTCTCCCCTCTTCTACCTTCTACCTTCTTCCACTCCCTCCCTCCGCTCTCTTCCTCACCTCTTCTTCCTCCTTCCAAAACCAGTCAAACCTGATTTACCGGAGAACTACGAGGCGGAAACCTGGTCCAAACTGGCCGAGGTGATTGTCGCAGTCCAGCTGCAACGCTCCATATCCTACAGCCTCGAGGAGCTGTACCAGGCAGTCGAGAACATGTGCTCGCACAAGATGGCTGCAAATCTCTATTCTAACCTCCGCAGGGAGTGTGACCATCACGTTCAGAGCCTTGTTCCCAAATTTAACCAGTATCCTCTTAAATACCATGTCGTGGGTATATACAGTGGAACCCCTCTAATCCAGACACAAATTGGACAGAAGAAAGTGTCCATATTAGAGAAGTGTTCTTGTTTTAGGGGCAAATTGCATGCACAGTATGCACTTATACCGTAGTATGCACTTCTCTTTGCATATAAAATTGTGTGTCAAAAGCTTGTGGTGTGTGGTTTTTCTGTTGTTTTTCTGAGCTACTCTGTGTGTACAGACCGGAGATGGGGGACAGTGAACTCCTACTGATGGTCAGCAAACAATGGAATGATCACTGTAACCAGATGGTACGCGACTTCGTCATACTTTGCAACTACCTTTAACGTTACTTGTATGCTAAGCTTCAGTGTTGCATATCCAATGAAAAGCACTAAAGTGCAAACCCTCGGCGAAGTAGCTCGCAGAGAGTCTGACGCGGGCTAGCTACAGTTGTAGATAGCACGCGATAGTTGATACACGACACTCGTTGTGACTTCTTGTGCCTTCAAGATAGACAGAGCAAGCGGACCCGGTCCTGTGCTAAATATAAGCGCATGCGCATTAGGCCGCCAGCGATAAAATGGCGATTACAGGCATTTGCCATACAATGCTGGAAGCGCTCTAGCTTAGCAACGGAGCATTTTCAGAGAAAACCGTTCGAAATTTCTGACCTTCATTGCCGGTTAAGTAGGTTGTATCGTTTGTGAGACGAACAGACATTCGAGAAGTGAGATTGAGAGTAACAGACAGACAGACAGACAAACCCAACTACAGTACCCTCGCTGCGCATGCGCGCCGAGGGTAAAAAGCACTGCACTGCAAACCCTCGGCGCACTGTGACGCGCACGCGTAAGTAAACGCATGCGCCGTACCACTAATTGATGGGCTGGGTTTAGTTTTATCTGTCACTCGTGGTCTCTTCCCAGCTCGCGCAGAGTCTGACGCGGGCTAACTACACTACTAGATAGCATGCGAGAGACGATACACGCCCTGCGTTGCATCTTCTGGTGCCTCCGAGGTACGCAGAGCACGCGGATCGATCAGACCGCGATCAGACCGCGGTAAGCCGGGCGTCCCGTCCGTTGTGTATTTGCATATTGGCTTTTTCGCGCTCTAGCTTTGCAACGGAGCAGTTTCAGAGAAAACCCCACAAATTTTCTGACCTTCATTGCCCATTCAGTAGGTGGTATCCTTTGTGAGACGAAAGAACATTCGAGAAGTGAGATGAAGAGTAACAGACAGACTGACTGACAGACTAGACTGACTGACAGACAAACCCAACTACTGTAACCCTCGCTGCGCATGCGCGCCGAGGGTTAATAATGCTTACAACAGACCTGTTAAGCTATCACTTCTGTATACATTAATAGCTTTATACAGCATATTATGTTGTGTGCTGACTAATAATAATATCGATTGGAGATGAATTCCATTGTAATTGTGTGTGTCTTTGCACATACATACATAGATAATGATTCGGAGCATATTCCTCTATCTGGACCGGACGTATGCGGTCCCAAGTACATCAGTACTTTCAATCTGGTTAGTTACTCAACATACTCGTACGTAGACAGTGTCGATATTGGTGTGTAGATAGAGGTGCTTCATATGACACATAGCCTATGTATTATAATGTGTAATTGTGAATGGAAGGTACAGTGTGGTTATGCCTTTTCCATTGTGTAATTTTTGCGTGGTGATGACATTTTTAGAACGCAAAGTCAGACTTACCATGGTAGTACAGCTTGGCTCTAGTGTCTATCTGTGACATTGGCTCTTAGTAGGCAAGCGTATAAGTGCATGTGCTTTACCGCCGCTTGCGGGCATGAAAACATGGCGAGCTGGCCGAAAGAGTTTGGATCAATGTGGTTGTTGAACATACAATTACTGCTGTGTTGGCGGCCGTGTCAATGGTGTGTGACCACCTATTAGTGGTTTAGTGGCCTGTCGCGTTTGTTTGGAGTCGGAACGCTCACGTTCGTCTGGGCTATTAATTTTGGCATGTGGTGTTTGTACGTATGTTGAACCTAGTAGAACTGGTATGGGATTACATGTGTATTGGAATAGGGACCTGAACCTAGTAGGACTGGTATGGGATTATATACATGTGTATTGGAATAGGGACAACTACAGTAGAAGCACTCTCTAAGGACACCTTTTTATAGAGACACTTCACTATTATGGACATTTTCTTCTGTCCCATTGGTTTCTGATGATTAGAGGGGTTCCACTGTGTAATGAGTACTGGTATGGAGTTGTGTGTGTATTGGAACAGGGACATGGGTCTGGACCTGTTTGGCTGCCACATCATATCTCCCGCCAGAGTCCAGAACAGAGTGGTCAAGGGAATACTCTCTCTCATCACTAAAGAAAGGCAAGCCCCGTGCTCGCACAGGAAAAAAAACAGGAGGGAGAAAACATTTTCAAAACGTCAAAATTTACTGCATGTGTGTTGCATTAATAGACATGGAGAGACGGTAGACCGTGTGCTACTGAAGAATCTGCTCACCATGTTGGTCGACCTTCGAGTGAGCTTCTTACCTTTCTTCCTTCTTTTGTCTCTTTTCTTTACGTCCTCTCTTGTTCCTTCTCTTCTTTCTCCCTCTCTCACACCCTCCCTCCTCCTCTCTCTCCCTCCCTCCTCTCCCTCCCTCCTCTCTCTCCCTTCCTCCCTCCTCTCCCTCCCTTCCTCCCTCTCTTTCCTCTTGTCACAATACAACCGTCGCCCATCCATCCACAGATGTACAGTGAAGCATTTGAGACTGACTTTCTGCTGGAGACGGAAACCGTCTATCGCACCGAGAGTCTTCGTATGATGAGAGACACGGAATTCACCGTGAGCTGTAGCCGTGCTAGCCGTGCTACACTAGTCGTCCGAATGCGGGATTTTTCCATATCACGTATCACACGACTGATAGGCACTACTGCACATACCATAACATTTACGTGATTCTAAATGCAGTACAGTGTGTGAAAAAGTTTAAACGTTATCCTAAACACGCGCAAAAAAAAATTGCTCGCTACGTTTGCCAAACGAAAATGAGTTGCATTTGTTCGTTCTAGTGTTCATGTGTCGGTGTGTGATTCTAGTACTTCTTGTGCGTTAGCTCCCGGAGTACTTGTCTCATGTGGACAGAAGACTCCAACAGGAAATGGAGCTGCTCAACAACTACCTTCACAAGAGTACCAGGTACTCTTATAGTAGCTACACACCTTTTAGTGGGCATTAAATGGAGCTCCTGCCAGTACTTATTGACCTGTATACAGTTTCTTAGTCAAAAATAAGCTTCGACAGATTTACATATTATTACACTAGTACTGCCAGAAACTATCATAATGCCAGAATGCCCTATTGTCGGAAAGTCATATAGTCTATGATAGGCAATTATCAACGTTTTTTTAATTTTATGGATGCTACTTGAACTATGACCCCTCTAGGAAGCCTTTGATACTGTGTGTTGAGAAACAGCTCATTGGAGAACACCTCCAAGAGATTCTGGACAAAGGTATGTGGAATATGGCAGCTAGCATTCCCTGACTTTACACATAAGCAATCTAATACAGTATTCATAATTTATCTTGTTACAGCTTACATTATTCATGATGTCATAGTGGGAATTTCCAAAAATGTGGTTCCACTACATGTGTATATACAATTATACACCATAATGGCTGTTGTATAATGGTGATATGCACAGGGTATGAGAGTCTCCTGGAGGCAGTTCGTGTGTCGGAGCTCTCTCTACTGTACGGGTTCTTTGCCAGGTTCAAGGACGGTCTCCCACTCATGTCCAAGGCCTTCTCCGACTACATCAAGGTTCATATGCAGTACATATACATATGGACCCATTCATCAGAACCTGAGTTTTCATATTTTATATACACCACATACACATGCAAATAATACATACTGCTACATACAGTACATGTCAAATGAGCAAGCCAACCATGTACATACATGTGTGTAATATGAACACTCCATTCATTTTCCCGAATAAAGTAACCGGAAATGGCAAGCTAAGAAACCCAGGTAATACATACACATGCACACGCAAATGGATACTGCTGTGTTCACTGGTAACAAGAGAGTCAGCCAACCATGTGTTCTTAACGTGCCATTTCCAGTTACTTTATACATAGTAACTGACATTTGAGCTTTTTTGTGTTTGTAAACACAAGTCATTGTTTCTGGAGGAAGAACTGGGGGAGCCTTTGACCACCTGCTGCTGAGGTAGTGTTAAATCAAAGACTTTGCTTATGCAGGTCCTCACACACAAACACACAAACACACAAACATACACACGAGTTATACTTTACTGTTTGCCTGACAAAACACCCTTACTCTATAACTATGCAAGGCACTTCAATTTACCTTCTCCCCTGCTCCCCCAGAAATCGGGGGTGGCTATAGTGAGTGACGCCGAGAGAGAGAAGACAATGGTTCACGAACTGCTGGAGCTCAAGTCCAAAGTAGACGGAATCATCGAGAAGGCCTTCAAGAACAGTCAGCTGTTCCAGGGAGTGGTGAGGGAGGGCTTCGAGGCGGTGGTGAACCGCAGACAAAATAAACCAGCTGAACTGATAGGTTGGTGTGGGTTGGATTTCGAAGTCCGTTCTACTATTACTGAACCATACATTTGCTCTGCACTAATGTTTGTGCGATGTAGTATGCAAAGCCACCTTTGCAACCTTTATATATTATATGTAAATATCATGTCAAACACTGCAACGTGCTCAATCAATGGTTGTATTGCCTTTCCAAACTGAATTCCATGTCAGTTCTTCGATGATATCATTGCTGTAGTGTTGTAATCTCTTCCTACAGCAAAGTATGTGGATGTCCAGTTGAGATCGGGGAACAAAGAGTGGACAGACGAGCAGATGGAGAGACTAATGGACAAAGTCATGGTCCTCTTCAGATTCATCAACGGTGTGGGTCGAACCATATCGATTTAAGCACAGAACATTCATAGCACATTATGTAATGACCTGCTATGAATTAGCAGGGCTGCACTTTGTGTAGCAACACTCTCATACCAGGGCATCCTCTTGGGCATCCTCTTGGGACTAGTTCCGTATTTAGTTGATAAACATAGCCATGTTTATTTTGCCACTTTGCAGTGAGCTTGTCTCAAACCTATGACTTTCATATTGTGGACTTTTCTTAGAGTTTGTGTTTTCAAACTGACCCTTGGGATAAACACAGCGTCCAAAACCCATGTGCAGTTTTTCAACCTCAAATACTATTGCCTACTCTGTCCGACTAGTGGTATTATGTGTTTTGTCCTGTGGGTGATTTCCTCCAGGTAAAGATGTGTTTGAGGCGTTCTACAAGAAGGACCTCGCAAAGAGGCTGCTTCTTGGGAAGAGCGCTTCATTCGATGCCGAGAAATCCATGCTCCTCAAACTCAAACAAGGGTATATGTTTATTTACTTTCATTTCCTCTTGCCGCTCTTGTCCTCAAACCCAAGAAGCATAGTTTATATAATATTTCATCATCTCCCCACTTTTGTCCGCCACCGCTTTTGTCCTCAAACAAAAGAAGGTGTGATCTATAGTTTATTGAAATCTCCCTACTTTTGTCCTAAACTAAAACAGGATGGTTTAGAGGTTATTTACTTCCTCCTCTCTCTCTCCCCTCTCGTTTGATCGCTTTTGTCTTTTGCGGAGGGTATTAATGTCGTTGTCTGTGAAGTTGGCCCCATGTTGAGCTTAGTCTTGCAGATCTGCACTGTTTGTCCCTTGAATCGGGATAGTTTCCTGTAGCTTTGAAGGTGGGTTTCTACCTTGGACCTAGCCAAACATGATACTGAGAATGACGCTGATAGCATAGGACTTCCTTGACACACACACACACACACACTCTCTCTCTCTCTCCCTCCCTCCCTCCCTCCCTCCCTTCTTCTTCTCTCTCTCTCCCCCTCAGAGTGTGGAGCAAACTTCACCAGTAAGCTGGAGGGTATGTTCAAAGACATGGAACTCTCGCGTGAGATGATGATCAGCTTCAAAGAGGTCAGCAGGCTTTCATTTAGATATCAATTCAAGGGTAGGTGGGGCAAAATGAGTATAAATGAAAAAGAAGGGGGTGGGGTAAAGCCCTGTGTGTGTGCATAAGGCTGATTTCACGTGGGATGTCTAACTGATAGAAATGGTATATCCTAATGATATGGTATGGCATTGCAACAAGTTGCGCAAAACCTAGCCTTAAACTGTTCACTTAAACTCCAAGGTTGAGGAATAATAGGGTGCTCTCACTAATACTCTGGGCCCTACTCATTTGTTGATTATACATTATTTTCCATAGACATCAAGACATAAGGTCTCGGGGAATGTTGATCTCAATGTACATGTCCTCACTATGGGTCACTGGCCCACATACACACCCATGGAAATACAGCTACCTCCCGAGGTATGTTGATATATAAGTGCGCTTTGTGCAGCTGTCAATAATTATGGTGTGGTTATAACGCCCATACTCACTTGGACATATGCACAGTCAATACTCATGTGGCTTAGTAGTGGGAACGAATGCCATGTAAATGTTGCACACTCACGATGTGGCATATTCACAATGTACATTATATTCATGCATGGGCGCGTGGCTGCATACTTGTATCTTACGCCCGCCACCTAGTGTTCTACACATGGTAATAGTGGAAATCAGTCATTTGCCTTACATGGCAAAGGGACAACAGAAGGTGCAACTGTGGCAACACTCACAGTGGCCATTACCACAGACATAAATGGCTGTATATTCAATGTTGGCAGTGCATATACGTGAGCAGGTCTTAAGCGCTGGCCTCTGTTTGTGGAGAGTACCACTGGGCACTCTTCTCTCCTCTCCACGCTGTGATACGAAGTACAGGAGGCCTTCAAGTCATTCTACCTCAACAAACACAACGGTCGTCGTCTCCAATGGCAACCGTCACTGGGCCACTGCGTACTCAAAGCTGCCTTCCCTCACGTACGTCTCATGTAAACTACTCTCGCTTTCACATTTACAGCAAATGTCCCCCACTTAGAGCATTGGTGTTTACAATTATCGCAGTCTACATGTGTGTACTTGTGTACTTAATGTGTTCTTACATGAAACATGCTATTTTCTACATTTCAAACTTGTGTGTTTGTAGCTTAATACACACTTTGCCCAATTATGGCAATTACTTCAATAATTGTCTAGTCGAACCCCTGGCCCTGTTCCAATAGCATATTGTGTTCCTGCTCTTTCATGACCTTTGTTTAGTAAACTCTGATTTATATGGAGATGGAACCCCCAATTATTGTATGCTGTGTAATTTACATTTCAGGGAGAGAAGGAGCTCCAGGTGTCACTGTTGCAGTCTCTGGTGCTGCTACTGTTCAACAGTGCCGATAAACTCCCCTTCACACACATCAGGAAGTCACTCAAATTGGTAGTTACCGTGAATGGGGATGCAACTGTGTGCAACTATTGTCCCACCACCTTGGCTTGGAATGTGTGGGTATGCATCTTTTATAAACTTTAGAACATCACGGAACAGAAGGATATCATTGTGCCATGAATATCTATTCCTGTTATCAGATGATGGTGAGTTGCGGAGGACCCTGCAGTCTCTGTCACTGGGTAAACAGGGGACAGGTGGCAGAGTACTCATCAAAACACCCAAGGTATAGTCAGAGGAGTAACCTGGTCAGTGGTGATTTCAGAATTTGTGGGGAGTTTTTAATAAACTGAGAAGTACAGAAATGCTGTATATAATACTTCCTACTGCTATACATACATACATACATACATACATACATACATACATATACTTCCTACTGTTTTGCCTGCAGGGAAAGGATGTCAATGATAGTGATGAGTTTGTCTACAACAAAGAGTTCAGACACAGAATGTGCCGCATCAAAATCAACCAAGTCCAGCTGAAAGAAACGGTTTGAAGAGTCTTTTATAGTAGTGTGTTTTTTTGTTGAGATTCTTAAATTGATCTTTTCCACAGCACGAAGAAAACACAGCCACCAATGAAAGAGTCTTTCAAGACAGACAGTATCAGGTAGAATAGCCTATATATCTGCCCCCTTCTCGTATTCATTTTCTATGAATTTTGAAGTAAGAACCTCAATGGCTAAGGGTATTGGCCATTGACACACCATGCAGAAAAAACCTCAGTTTTTTTCTCCTTGTGTATTATTGTTGTGTGTGTAGGTGGATGCTGCTATTGTCCGTATCATGAAAATGAGGCGAACTCTGCCTCACAATCTCCTTGTCTCTGAATGTATCTCTCAACTTCGATTCCACGTCAGAGTAAGCCCCATTGACCTAATCTCTTGTGATACTTCCACCCCCCTTGCCCTCCCTCCCTCTTTCCCCGTGCAGCCCTCAGACCTCAAGAAAAGGATAGAGAGTCTAATTGATAGAGACTACATTCGTAGGAGTAAAGACAATAGTAGTATATACGACTACATTGCGTAACAACAGCAAATTCCATATCATCTCCATGCCATGTGTTTTTGAAATCTGTGGATATGAAGCAGACATTGGGGGAGTATAATTCAACACAGCCCCTACGCATTCGCTTGCTTATTATACACATGGGAATTTGGAAAAAGCGCGTGCTTGACAGTGCGCGCGCTGGAGTTTTGAAGGAATGTGCCGGGTGCACCACCACATTCCGCATCTTTCCTCTAAATAAAAGCTAGGACGCGGCCGAGCGCCGAGGGGACGCCGACCGGAAACGACGGCGTGGCGCGTATAAAAGGGAGTCGGCGAAAGGGAGGGTTGTGCTGGTATTCAACTGCAGTTTATAGCTCAATTTGTCGTATTATCCCAAGCTAGCTGCAACTGTAAATTCGCAGTTTGCAAGGATGACGACTGTAAATCAGCCCGCATCTGCCGGGCCCGTCCGTTTACGTATATGCCACCATGCGTTGCAGGCATTTTGTTGTGGCGTCGTCAGTTTGTGTTTTCGTTTTTGCTCTGTGTATGGTGGATTTCCGTATAGCTGTACATTACGCAAGACTTAGACGGTCACATTCAGTCTCTTGTCTGTGGAGTTCCAAGAGGTAGTGAATGATATAATAATATCTATCCCAATCTAGCAGCAGTGATACGTCAGAGGAGGACTGGAGATGAGAGGCCTGTATGGTGACCAGGAAACCACTGTCTCCCCACAGCAGTCTGACTCTAGTCCTGCCTCACAGAGATGTCCAGGTCAGAATCGAGAGAGGCAGGTACACTCCACTGTCAATCATGGAAGAGACTGGCCACAACTGGCCTGACGAAATGGTCTGAACATCAGCTCCTTTTGTATCTCCATTCTGCTTGTTTCTCCTCTCAGAACTACTTTTGCGTGAAAAAATTACTTGTGGTTTTTGTGAAACACAATAATATAAATTACTTTGTTTTTGTTTCTGTATTAATTCATCTCCTTTGTTATTCACTCTTCTCAATTTCCGTTTTTGTGTGAAAAAAATAATACTCTTACAACAATGATGACATGTCCCCCTTATTTCTATACTGAGTGTCCATACAATCAGTGAGTGCACTGTATGATATTTAATTGTGACAATGTGTGATTGATCATTATCATTATGAACCTGAATCATTTAATAAACAGCAATTTATTCCTGAGCAGTACATAGTCAGCGTAGTGAGTATACTGTGCAGAGAGCCAGGGGATATAGAATGCTCTGAACAATCTGTGGGGACCTGTGGACATAATTATTATAGAGGTATATAACTCCCACTCACACAAATAAGGTGTATATAGACGTGGTACCATATTCATAGCCCTTGATCAGTAATGAATTTATGAACCATTGAGCAAGTGTAGTGTGCACTGTACCTTCAATTATTCAATTATTGAAGTTAATTGGGAAAGAACTTCCAAAGTCAAGTATAATAATGCAATACTCATCTCTGCATTTTCGACTATATAAAACATTCACCAACCTTCTGGTATCCAGAAATGGTCTTCTGACAACAGTTTCCTAGTGTCCCGGTGTCGTGAGAGTACCGAGCTGGAGGGGTGTGGTCTTGGGGAGGTCAAGGTCCACCAAGAAATGGCACATCTCCAGAGGAAACTGTTTACCAGCAGAAGTTGGGGAATTGTTATAATTATAGCACAGCACAGATTGCAAAAGATTTCCTATATAAAACGAGTGTGAATTGTTCTGTCAACGGACGCGATGATTGCACATAGGCCCTAATTGCACATGACATAATGCACAACAGAATTCTTTGCCCACAGGATAAAATTTCTCTTGCTAGCAGGAAGCTGGGGATTCAGTTCCCTAAGTATTGATACAACGTATGTTCCCTAAAAGTATTCATTTCCAGGTGGAGCCGCCTCATTAGGGATGGAGCCTAATGAGGCGGCTCCACCTGGAAATGAATACTTTTAGGGAACATACGTTGTATGCAGATACTTTTAGGGAACTGAATACTCTATAAGGACAGTATTCAGTTCCCTAAAAGTATCTGCATACAACGTATGTTCCATTAAAAGTAGGGGAACTGGGATATTACACGCAAAACCTAGTCCCGAATCTCCAGGGAGTAGACTACACACACTCACTAAAATGAGTGACATGATGACTAGAAAGAAATTCAGATGACCTAGATTACAACCTTCACCCACCAACTATTAATGATGCCAACGACCCTCTGTGAATACCTATATGAAAGAGCCACAGCCCTAGAGGAGGGAGAGGAGAAGGAAGCGACCAGGGGTGAGGGTAGGGAGGGGGAGATGAAGAAAGTCGCAGCACGCAGCAGTCTCTTGGCATTTCTAGCCAACCCAGACCAGGTACGTATCTCCTGTGAGAGAGGAGAACCAGCAAAGATGCCACATCTCAACAACAAGGTCATGAGGCAAAGCAAAAATCAATGCACACAAAACGACACCGACCACCACACGGGCCACCAATTAATCTGTCCATGATTGGAATGAAGTGTACCATTCCCGCTGATGAGACACAATGCCTAATGCATGTGGGTAAGTGTTGACTGAGTATTAACTCCCTGGGACGATTAAACACTTTAGTCTCAGAATAGTCTAATTAAAGTTAATTATGGTAACAGTAGGGGAAAGCTGGTGGCAATAAGAGTCTCTCACAGGCAGCAAGATGAAGAGTGACGACTGCAGACAGACAGAACAGCGGGTAGGGTAGTGAGAAACAAAAACTCTCCTCTGAAATGATGAAACAGAGCATTATTCTAAATAGAGAGAGAGGCTAACCACAGCTTGCATGTATATACCTTGTGAGGTCTGGGAAAAAGATGAGCATCCAGATGGGTATCGTGGACCACTTCCTGTTAGTCACGGTACGCGATAAACTATGCCTGCACTGGACTTGGTATGAGCTGGACACTTTATCCATTGCAGCGCGTTCTATTGTTGCGATGGTTCCGAGGTGTGTTCAATTAGTCAGCATGTTGACATTGAGGATAGGAATTGCACAGGGTGGCGGAGTGGCATGTAGATTACTCTATACGGTTTCGTATGGAACTTGTGATAACTTATATAGAAGAAGCTGACACTCACGGAGGAACTAAACAGGTGGCCCTTGTTTGGAGGTGATATTTAAAAGAAGTGTCCTTATAGAGAAGTGTCCTTTGAACATTAGGTTCTACATTGTATTTGTGTCCTTAATACGAAGTTTCTGTTGCAAGGTTGTACACTGCATTACAATAATTATAGTCGACTACACCATGCAATACACTCCAGCAAGTCAAACAATGAGTGTACATACGTAAGACAAAGTAAGGTATACCATTCCCCTGGTAGGCTGACAGGATATTCTTCAGGGTATCCATGTATGAGCCTCCTCTGCCTAACACTGTTATCAAAACCTCCCAGAACACCTGGAGAATGTGAACAATGCCGGGCCTAGTGGAATGTACGTACCTGTACTAGAGGAATGGCGAGCGAAGCGAGCATGTAGTGCGTTTTAGAGCATATTTAGAATCACGTAAACAATACGGTATGTTGGTCCGTTAACCGTTACAGACGCCTAGGTGGACTCGCTTTGCTTGCCAACTATGTATTATGTTTTATGCAACGGCTTATGCAATTAGTAGTAGCAACACAAGGGAAAGGGGAAAGCCTCAAATGCTTTGTGCATCTGCACAACTATGTTATGCTTACTCTCCAGTTATGCACTCAGGCTTGTGTAATGTTACATAACACAACTGCCACTTTGCGCCTGTGCCCGGCATGGTGTACTGTGTATGCATGTACTAGCTATAAGGTAAAAAATTCCAGGCTATGCCGTATGCCAACTATACCTGGCCAACTATACCTGGCGTATGCCAACTTCTACCTGGCCAACTACTACCCGTGCATGCCAACTATGCGTATGCCATACTGATACTGGCCAACTATACCTGGCCGTATGCCAACTATACCTGGCCAACTATACCCGGTGGCATGCCAACTATGCCGTATGCCAACTATACCTGGCCAACTATACCTGGCCGTATGCCAACTATACCTGGCCAACGTATACCGGTGGGCATGACCATCAGCCGTGGCCAACTATACCTGGCCGCTATAATGGCCAACTATACCCGGTGGCATGCCCATACCTAGGCCGTTGATAGGCCAACTATACCTGGCCAAACTATACCGGTGGCATGCCACCTAGGCCGTATGCCAACTATTTACCTGGCCAACGTATACTGGCCAACTATACCCGGTGGCATGCCAAACTATACGGCGATGGCAACTATAACTGGAATGGAGGAGCTAAGACGGTCTTCCATAGTAGAATGAGTCATGGCCACCAGTGGAACCCTGTAGTGGGTTTGAGTATATAGTCAAGTAAGACATAGGGAGAGTGAGGAGTTAGTGAGAGGGAGGGAGAGAGAGTAAGGAGGAGGGGAGGAGATTTTGGTCTTGTTTGCTCACCGAAAGACGACAAAGATGATCAGATAAAAAGGAAGGTTTATATGTAGAGCACCACATCCATGCTATGGGTAATCCTGAAGTTAGAAATG